ATAAATGGAGTTAAAGCATAATTCTTGAATAAAATATGTTAGAGATTCAAAAGAATTGAGACTAGACAGAGCTGCATACTCCAGCAGACCTTGGAGCTGCAATCGAATGGCTCAGATCAAAGAACATTAATGTTTTAAAATGTTCTAGTGAAAGTTCTGGCCTGAATCCAATCCAAAACTTTAAAATGTATGTGTACACTCTTTTTGCAAGAAAAAGAAGGAGGAGAAATGTAATAACCTTCCCCCCACCACCACCACCACAATATTCCCTCCACCAAAAGGTGGATCAACAACACAGATTGGTAGGGAGCTGATTACAAAAAAAATATATAAAAATACTTCTTATTTCACTTGTATCATTTTTTTTCCCCATTCGCAATTATAAGCTGCTTTTTGTTGGTTTATCACACAAAAATCCACGAAACTCTTCTGTGCATGAAATGTACCGTACAGTATGTAGTGTGAATCTGATATAAAATCTGGTGAGGCATTGTCTGCTTAAAGGTGTTTCCATTAAAAACAGATGGAAGTGACTTTTATATTTCTTTTTTTTTTTTTTTTTTTTTTTTTTTGCTCATTTCTGGTGAACACTGATTGCTTGACATTCATGTTGGAACGCATCCATACAATGTCCACTTTACTGAACACTGCGTGAATCCATGCAGGCTAACAGATGGTTGACTGAGCTCCAGAACGGCAGTGCCGATGCCAGCTTCATTACAGGGGTGCGCTTGGATATTGAACAAGTGTGAATATGTCTGTCATGCTCCCGGCAGCCATGGACAACAAAAGGAAAAAAAGGAAATTCAAGCAACAATTAATGACAATGCGTGAAACCGCGACACGCACATCATTACCTAAATCTATCACTAAAGGATAAGCATCACAGGAGAGAGTGACAACTGATACTAATCATCTGAAGGGCAAATTAAAAGGACACCAGAACAGATTCCAATTTGTTTTTTGTTTTTCTTTTCAGATTTAAAACTAAATATCATTCACTCTCTGTGATAGGAAAAATATGGTAAGCTCTGAGATGCAACCTATTTAATAGATGAAGAATGTGAAGCTGGAGCGATTCATGTCCTAACAGCAACATTTAGCCAACATGTGATCTTTGCAGGAGAGAAGGAAGGGGAAAGAGAGAGAAAACCGCGTGTTGGCAGTTGACCAGGTGCGGCGAGACTCAGGAAGTGGAGCCGGAATTCCAACAATGCAGGCAGTCTCTGCGCTCTTCTGTGAGGTGCTGCCATTTCTGCTCGCAGCGCTTTCTTTGTTGTGGCGAGTTAAGAGGCAGTCAGGTGAAGTCCTGTGGGCTGCGAATCTGATATTTGACTGTGAAACGTAAACCCGGGCCGATGACTGATACGGTGAGGACATTGATGTTGCAAAACTGTGAAAGAAAAGCAAGCAGGTTCCTTCCTCGCTTTCCCCTCTGACACAATCTTTTAAAACAAAAGATTGCTTTCCCAGGGCCATCTGACTCAAGTCTGCTCTTCCGATAATAAATGCCAGCAGAGGCAAAATGGATTAGGACCCTGCAAAAATGATACAGCACAGCAAAGCTGCTATCTCTCTATATGGCTGTAACAGATTGTGACACACAGTATCGCTTTCATCAGAAAATGCAATTATAGATTAAATATGTACTGTTTTGGGGGAAGTATGTCTATGAGTATTTGAATCAAAAGACATCCTCGTACTATCCACGACAGCAAAACAAAAAGCTCTCGTATACTGACACAATTATTGACATCCCTTGTACAGAAAAACTCCTGGCTAGCTGCTAGCTCATTAGCAGCTAACTAATTTAGCTAGCTGCTAACTGTCTAAACTGGTTAACAGCTAGTTTAGCTGCTGGCTATGTTTAGTTATCAACTAAAATTAACTCTTATGATCTAGTTAAATCTAACCTTATTTGAGTCTCTTTATTGAGTCTATATTAAACAATTCTCTTTATTTCAAAAAACATCACTAGTTCCACATTTGCATCGCAGCATTTTCAGGAAGTCTTTGACATGTTTGAGCTTTTTAAAAAAAAAAAGGGTGAAAAATGAATCAGTTTGGGGTCTTTCAGCTCAACATTGATGATCCAAAATGTTTAGCCAAAGAGAGCAGAAGGACGCAAGTGATTACCTGTAGGCAGAAATGCATAAACAGTTTTCAGTGAGGACTTATGCAACAGCAACAAAAGATGAACATATTTTCAGGCCTTTTATACATTTTTCCAAAGGTAAGCAAGAAAGCTGAGAGCACCGTAGAATTGCTTTTCTGTGCACCGGCAGTGTTGAAGAAAAGCTCTTAGAACGACCGATACAGTATCTTTTATAATGCCTGTTTTGCTCCACTCTATAATTCGTTTTCCTTCAGGATATTTTGCTCATCTTTTAATTCATAACTACAACCTCTGTCTGCATCGCATCCTACAGCTGACGCCCTTTGAAATCTTCAAAGTCCATTAATTGATGCAGTCACTCTCAGCGCTGCCTTTCATGTGGCTCCTGGATCTGTTAAAACAACCCACTCCAGTTATTCCTGTAACTAGCGGAAAGAGATATTTCAGGTCTCCAACTCCACCCCCCTCCAATGAGTTGGGTTGCAAAATGCATTTTTAGCAATCGTGAAAATGTGTCCAAATATTTACTAGATCTCGAGGTGGTTATTCTGTTCATCTGGCTGCAGATGACCACAGCTGTGAATATCGAAACTGGCGAGTGAGAAGCGTTTGTGTTTTATCATTGAGCTGCAAACCGGGGCAGAGATAGGCGGATGTATTATTCAGGCACCCGCCTAGGTCCAGATGACACAGCTGAAACAAACAGTTATCTTTCCTGCTCTGATAGTTGAGTGAGGAGATGGTGGTTTTACAGATGGTTTGAGGGGGGAGCGCTCCCAAACCCACAGAGCTGAAAGAAACAGACAGGGAAGGAAAACAATCCCATCTGACATAATAGGGTATGCTTTTTCTCAGATTTAATTCAAGATACGGCGTGTCTGAAGTGTTCCAGATACTTGTGTGCCAAATACCAATTGAAATCAAACATTTTAAAGCACAAAATGAATTGAAGCTGATTGCTGCAGTCTGTCAAAACATGTCAGAATGTTACACAACTGTGCATTTCTTTGTTTAATCTTTTTTTTTCACGGACGTCCATTTCTTTTCTTTACGCAAAAGATTGACTGTGACGGCAAATGCTGCAGCATGGGCGGTGGTTTTAGCAGCTATTGTAGCCGCGTGAAGCCGATTGAAAGGTTTCAGATCATTTGCAGGCCACTGACTTGGGTACAGTCACCAACCATGTACGCAGCAGGAGATGCTGGGATCACCGGAGAACTATCCTTCAATGTTAAACTGGTGTATTCACAGCTTGTACTTCTCCACGGGAGTCGAGGCGCACAGATGTAGAGTTCCTGGCAAGTCTGTGCTTGAGTTGACCCAGAGTTCACGTTGGAGCAGAGGCAGGGGTTGTTCTTGCGTCATAGTGGGGGCAGTCTAACAAAATAAATTTTGTTTAATATGGCGTCCACTCATTTGTCTGCCAGATTGTTCAATCCTAACAAGAGGAGTTGCAGTTCAAACGCGGGGGATCGACGACTACCTCCAAGAGTAGTGACTGACGAGTCTGGCCATCACCTACGAATCGAGGCAGAAATTGTCCGAACTACCTTAATTGGCTCATAGAAGTTTAAATAAGGAGAGATTTTAGTTTGTGTCAAACAATTGTGTTCATACTCAAAATTTAGATGGAGCAATCAGTCTAACATTCATGCTGTTGGGCAATGAGAGGAAGATAGAGTACCTGGGGAGAACCCATATACGCACAGGGAGAAGTCGATGCAGAAAGACCCAGTCCAGGTCCAAACCCATCACTTTCTTGCTTCAAGGCCACAGTGCTACTAACTGTGCCACCATACGTCCCTGCCCCGCCTTTCTAGAATGGCTTTACCTTATTCTGAGATGGCATTCTTCACTGAAAATTCATGACGTTTGGCATCATCCTCCCAACAATGCTGTAGTAGATGCTCCATAACCCTTGGTGATCTTTGTAATTCCTTTACCAGCCATTTGTGAATTCTGAGATAAAACACTTCAGGTCATCTGCACACCGTAGAGTTTCCATATTCTGTAAGACTCTGACCTTTTCTTCCCAGGAACCACAATCTTATAGTTAGAAATGCTAACAACGTAAGAGGTTATAACACCTCTTAATAAGGTGTTAAATTGTAAAGATGAACCATACAGTTTGTGGTAAAAGTAAATATTATGTATGTTAAAATAATGTTAATATTTAATATGATATTTTTTCACTTAAACTGTTAGATGGCATGCTAGAGAAAGTAGCAGCGTTGTGGTGTAGATAACACCAGTTCTGACCCTCACCCTGCTGGGTGAAACGAGGCTCTCACACACACACAAAAAAAGATTTGGCTGTGGCAAAATATGTGCTTGAATTATGTATTCTATAGTTTTGCATGCTATTCTAAACAACAAATAATTATCTTGGCAGACATGGTAACTGTTAATGTCCATACTATATCTGTTAATCAGAAATAGGAATAATTTTTGCTTTTCTGTTTTAAGTAAAATATCATGCAATAAAGTTTTGTTTAAAATTTTTGGTCAATAAAGTGACTATTGCTGCAGGTTACCAAACTGTGAGCATCTCATGAAACTTAATTTCTGGTTCAGTTGTTATGCAACTGTGTATCTACTCAAATCACGTCACACACATCTGAATTAAAACAGTATACAACATTTATTATTTATTAAAAGACTACCCCCTAGCCCCCTCCCCCCCCCAAAAAAAAAAATAAGATGCACAAAACAATGAGTTAAGAGAAATAAGCATTTTGAATTTTTCTTGTAAAAAAAATAAATAAATAAAAAATCACTTTCTTTAACTGCGCGCAGATTGATGGGTGAATTTGTTGTCGGAATGGGAATTCGTGGTCCTCTAGTGAGGAGGAGGAGGAGCGATGGAGCCTGTGGACCTATTGAGAACCAGAGAGGCGGTTCAGCCCCGCAATGGTCTGAGCAGCAGCGGTTCAGGGAGTAGCATTACTTGTGCAGGAACTGGTTCGACACCGCAGAAATCCGCTAACGGAGCAAATGAAAACGAAAACAACACTTTCTTGTGGATTAATTCTCTGGCGAGACTTTCACTCGAAGCAAGTGTACCTGTAAGCCACTTTGGATCGATTGACGAGGATTGGGACGTTACCTACTGAACATCGTTACCACCGAATGGTGTCTCCTGCCCCGCCGCTAAGGTTAGTTAGCTTCCATTGCTGGCTGTCCATTGGTTTGGGGGTCTGCTCTGTTGTTGGATGACGGGGTCCGGCTATTCTTTGGAGAACAAACATACATAGCATTATTGACCTTTTTCTGAGTCTATGCGTTGCGCTATAACCGCGCCTTGCATTAAACCGAGTGGAATTGAAGCGTCTACAAAGTGCTAAATCAGCTGGGTCCTCGGACACTAACAGTCTTCTCGTTTAGCTGATCACCGTCAGCTCGTTAATTATTTTATAAATCACAAACACGTGCTACATGGCTAGGCTAAGCTAGCAAATAGCTAAAGTGCTAGCCAGGCAGGCTAGCTGTCAGAGCAGACGAGGAGCTAGCGCCTCTGTTCTTGAAAAGAAATAATTAAACAGCTGCGTTTGTTTCTTTAAAAACACCACCCCGCAAACAACAATTCTAATATTCACCGTAAAAAAGTACTGTCAACTTTCCAACATGCCCCAGTTTGTATTTGTGTTTGGTTAAATAGCTTAGCTTGCTATCTAGGATGTACAAAATAACGTTCAGTGTGAGTTTGTAAACAAAGAATCCACACGAGTTCACCCAATGAACTTTGTCTTTCGTGTGTGGTCGAAGGCGAATTCTGTTTGTTTTTTTAAATTTACTTAGCAGGTAATAAGTTTGGATTTATGGCTGTAGTAAATTGTAAATATAGTGACGTAAGATAGAAGTAGACATCGGTTGAGTGGTTTCTCAGATTTGATGCCTAAACGCGTACACTGGATGGCTGTCGGAAATGTGCTGTGGTTTTTAAAACCGATTTAATGCTGACATTCGAAGCTAACGTCGAGCCGCAATAGGAATCACACTGAGAGATGCTATTCTGTATTGCTTGGAGTAAAATGGGAAAAAGAATGTGTTTTGATTTAGCTGCATGGACACTGTTAACATTCTGGCTCCCATTGCACTTGCTGGACACTAGTTACGTAATACGTCTTAGTGGGCATGCTACAACAGTTTTCAGAAGACCTTCATGTCAAAACGAACGATTTCACTTGGTAAAAGCAGAATACTTTTTACATGACACCAGGATTATATTTGTAAAAGAGCAAAGGTTATGATGGCTACAGCGGTTTAAAGAACTGAAATTCTGAGGCAATCTGATTTGCAGCAAAATGTTAAACGTGTGATCATGGCACATTTTATCATGAATGGCCTGCCTCTTTTGTGATTTATGATAAATGTCAGTTTAGTAGCTCTTTTTAAACAAAAACATCTTCAGTTTCTGCTTTGATCCAAAAGCTCCCCCTCCCCCATCCAACATAAACATTACAAATATTGAATACTATTTCCAATTTTCTAAGCTTGTTCTCACATATTAAATCAATAGATTTTCAACTAGCTTGCACATTTTCTTGAGTTTAAATAATTTAGCAGATCTTCTGGAAAAACCTTCATG